CATATAGAGGAGTGATATCGTAGAAATCACTTTCAGAACTTTTTTTTTTTTTTTTTCTAGCGGACAGCCAATCAGAATCCATTCGAATTTATGGGCTTAGACGGGGAAAGACTGTGGAAAGTTCTAGACGTGGTCCAGAAAAAGTCAATCCTCCTTTTCAAGGATACTCTAAAGTAATATTTGTCTGTGAAACAATCGGTAAGTGTTAATGGAAATGAAATCATTATGCCAGGCTAGCAAAGGCCGTAAAATTCCTCCGGTATCCAGGGCTAGTTTCGACAACATTGTTTTACTTCCTTTGCTGTTGCTGTGAAAAAGACTAGGTGTTTAGATTTAGATATTTTGACTGGAAACAACAAGACAAAAAGGCTATAAGAAAATAATGTTTTTTCAAGTGCAGTACCTCATTCATTGTACATTTTTCTAAATAACATCATATATTTTGAGGGCGGGTCAAATATGTTGTTCGTTGGCAGTAAATGAAGACCATACAGCATTATGCAAATTTGCTAGATTGTTACTTGGGTATATAACAGGAAGTGAGACTGCGATTGCCAACCACTTTGGCAGTTCAGAATCGATTATTTCTTTTAGAAAATAACTTTAATTGTCGTGCACTTTGACCTTTCAAACTTTGCAGCCCTTTTACATTCATAAATTGCTATTCAACACTGCATTAAAGATAATTTTCAAAAAAGCAAAAAGGCAGTTGAATAGAAAAAAGTTTTGCTGAAGTTATCTTTCGTTTTGTGCTTTTGGGTTTCTGCAAAAAATTACAGTCTTTGTCTTTGAAGTTTAAATCATGTTAATGCATTTTCTTCACCAATTGACCTGAAGATCCAATAAAGCTCAGCAGCGGTGTTCCAATTTAATGGTGTAGAAGTCAAATTAGATTACTGAATCACTTTTTTCACTCACAGCTATAAAAGGTCCCCATAGTCTATTACATCAAATTGCCTTTTAAAATGTTATGTGCCTGACCTCTTATGTCCATAGAGACTTGGACTGTAAGGGTAGAGGAGGAGATCTGTGGTGTTAGGTGGACCGTATGATCAGGTTGTGGAATGGACTTCAGCATCACCTTCCATGTCCAATCTGCCTTTAGAATATAGGATAGGAAAGATCCAACACTATCTCACGACCAAGCCGTACGAATTCGACGAATGATTAAAAAGTGGCTAATTCGTACTAATTCGTACGACCTCACTCGTACTAATTCGTACGATTTGTCTAAACCCACGTGATGGTTAGGTTTAGGGGCGGGGTAAGGGGTAGGTCATTCGTACGAATTCATACGAATTGGCCAATTCGTAAAATATGTACGATTTAGCAAAATCGTATTAATTCGTACGAGTGAGGTCGTATGAATTGTTACGAATTAGCCACTTTTTAATCATTCGTCGAATTCGTACGACTTGGTCGTGAGATCGGGTTGGAAAGATCGGGCTTCTATGGCAGTGTTTTACAATCTTGTTTCACTGTTGACCCTTCAATTACCCCTTAACCCACCCTTAAACCTCCTCATATCACCCTAAACTTACATGTATCCCATCACATTAGCAGCAAACGTGTTTCACAACATCAACACAACTATATTAGGCGTGACGGAACCAAATCTATTATTCTGTCCTCATATGCTGTTCATAGAATACAACAGAACAGATTGTTTCTGTCATGATGGGTTCTGATAACTGAATAGAACAGATCCTCCAGTCTTCATCCGATGCCGTTCCATTTATAGAATAATATGATTGATGTCCTTGTGATGCTGGAAAAGGGGCAGTATTGTCAGTGGGTTTTTTGGCTCAGTTTAACATGCGTTTTAGAACACAAAGAGATTGAGAGAGCACTGTAAAAATGAATATGCTTTATCTAATCAATAAAATTGTGGCAACAGATTACAAGCAATATTATTTATTAAATTGAACAAATTAGAATTGAGTAATAGTTAATCAAATTAACATTCTAATTAATTCTAATTTGTACAATTTAATTAATTATATTGCTTGTAATATGTTGCCACAAGTGAGTGGCAGTGAGTTTTTCAGTGAGTGTGTGTGTTAATGGAAGCTCTTTAATTTGTCTAAAGCAGACTTTCAAACTTTTATTTCCCTGGCTGAAGGGCTTCTGGTGACCTGAATTATCTGAGTATTTACAGATTTGCACAACAGCGTGTATGATAAGCTAAAAGAGAAGTTGTCCTTCTCGCTTTGGTTCCTAAAACAAAAATACAGCCTTGAGGAAGGGGATTGATGTTCTCTTGATTGCTGTGATGGAGCTTAGCTTACTTGACCTTATTGATGTGGGCACTTCTTTGTAATTCATCTACATTTTTTAGCTCTCATTTGAACTCACTCACACGCCTCTCTTCTAACGTGAGCTCATCTGTGGATATTTCTTATTCATCCCTCTCTGGGTTAGATGGGTGGTGACTGACTTCATAATGCATGATGTGTGCGGCTGGCTCAGGATGAGAGAGATGTGAGAGAATGAGCAGCAAATGATCCTTGAGGAGAAGGGCAGCCAATCTAAAGTTTCAAAACTTCAATTATTTATCAGCATAAATATGTCCTTTTAAATGTAAATTGTGATACATCCACTTGTGGCTGTGAGTGAAACGGATTTATCCAGCACATCTTGAAGTAAAATAAAGACTCATGTGTCCAAATTTGCCTACTTCCATTCTGCATCCACCTTATTCCTACGCCCCATGACGCTTTGTTTCAGTCAATGATGGGTCAACATTTTTACAAATTTACTGTAGTACGCCTGATTTTTATATAGAACATACATCTTTTTAACAGTTGGGAAGTAATTTTCAATCCAAATGCACAGCACCAACTATATAGTATGCGGTTTTGGATGCAGGAAAATGGGTGAGACTTTTTTTTTTTTTTTAATATCAAGCAATTCAAGCTGTCATGTTTTATACAAATTAGTGTTTTTTTAAATGGCTTAGAAGGCAGGATAAATAAAAATGGAAGATTTTATAGCGAATAAACAATACATACTGCAATTAAATTCAAATTTATGTTACATATTTACTAAACTTGAAATATGTTTAAAGTAATTTGAATCAAAATGAATCAAATAAATAATAATAACTTTAAGGGGAAAAAATCCAAAAAAAAAGTAAAAAAAAAAAGTATTACTAATAATAGAAAGGCAAATTATTTTACACATTAACATATAGTTTACTTTTTATCTTATTTTTTTTTTAACAAAGACGGCAATCTAAAGAAGACCGAAAATTGGAGCTGTCAAAATAAAAATCCTGCTTTTGACACTCAGCAAAACAGGAAAACTTATCCACCAATGGTTAATTTAATAAAAATAAAAAAAGCTTGGATATATATTGGTCAATCACGGCTATAAATTTGGATTATTATGATATTTAGATGATAATAATTAGCTACTTCTGCTTACTTTTTACCATTCAAAAAATGGATCTATGAAGCACAACTAACACATTCAGACTGCTGGCAAATGTGGCCCAAATCCATTTTTTTTTTTTTTTTTTTTTGCTCAAATGTGACTTGGATTTGTTTTTCTCATGAGATTGTGACCAGTACAAACCAAATAAAATCGGATATTTTCAAAATTTGGGCCGCTTCCATATGTGGTCCTAAATTCAAGACAGGACAAATGTTTTTCAATGTGACCTCAGTCTGAACAGTCAAATTGGAATTCATGCGAATTTCATGTCACTTTCGATCAACATTCAATGACAATTCCGCGCTCATGGGAGTCAGATTTTAATCGGGACTGAGCACGAACAGTTCACGTTTGTGAATCAATGCGTTTGCTGGGCATTTAGCTCTGTGTTAATAAGTGGTAAAGTTTATTAGTCCCGCAGTGTTTGTTTTTCCACTTTTCCATAATTTACTCAATAATTTAATTGCATTCTCTTGGAGAAATTGTTTAATAAATGCCCAGCCCTGTCATAACCTACAGTACTGTATATGTCTCTGTTAGTGGTTGTAATTTTCTCCTTCATTTACAGCCCCCTGCAGTCCCAGAGCGTCCGGCAGTTCTTTACGTTAATGTGTACAGGGAGGGCATTGGGTTTGTAGCTTTGTTCCGTCGTTCTTCTGCAGGAGAAATGCAGAGTCATGATAATTCAGTCTCTCTGCTGCCATGCATGGAGACATTCAAGGTTAAACAGACACGCTACAGTCAGCAGTGTGTGCCAGATAATGTTTAAATAGACTGAGCTTTTAAGGAGTACACAGACCTATCTGGCTGGCATCAGTTTTGTCCTGACTTTAGTGTCTAAGCGTAGGCGATAAAGACTGCATGCTAATTTATACTATCTGTTCTATACATATGCAAGGGTACAATTAGAGAATCCTGAACTTGGTATGATAAAAATGGTATGCCAAAGGTGCCACGATGCACAATTTTTGAAGCTGAAGTGTACAAATGTACATCAAATGTTTTTAATGCAAAGCATTTTTGTCAAGTTGATTCAAATTTCTACTTAAAGCAACATTCCTTAGACTTTATATAATCAAAAATACAATGGTTTAAAATTGTAACAATATTTTACAATTACTGTTTTCTATTTGAATATATTGTATAATGTAATGTATTCCCTTTGAAGGCAAAGCTGCATTTTCATCATCATTACTCCAGTCTGTCACATGATCCTTCAGAAATAATTGTTATGCTGATATTGATAAAAATAAATGTTTTAGAGCACATAAAAAAAAAACAGTGCTGCTTACTATTTTTGTGAAAAAACATGGTGCATTTTTTTTAGGATTCTTTGAATAGAAAGTTCAAAAGAACAGCATTTACTTATAGGGTTAGTTCACACAAAAAAACATAATTATATCATTAATTACTCACGTCGTTTCAAAACTGTAAGACATTCATTCATCTTTGGAACACAAATGATGATCCTTTTTGTGAAATCTGTGAGTTTTCTGTCCTTCCATTGACATCCTAAGCAACTACCACTTACAAGCCCACATTCTCTCTTCTGTCTCTCTGTCCAGGTTGTTTTCAGCTATGTAACGTGTTCAGGCAGAACATGGAGATAGACCAGTGTCTGCTGGAGTCTCTGCCGTTGGGCCAGCGTCAGAGGCTGGTCAGACGCATGCGTTGCGAGCAGCTGCGGGTCTACTACGAGCGTGAACGAACACTACAGAAACAAAGCTTCCCCAAGCCCCGGCCCACCAATCGCAAAAAACAAAGGATCAGCTTTACAGCTTCAGACGTCATCCAGGATGCCATCATACGACACGATGACAAAGAGGGTAAGAAACTTTTTTGTTGCTTTGTTATCTTGGTTTCATGTTGTAAATTATTATTTCCTCACTAGCAAATTACAATGCTGGTCAAATAGCAATAAGTCACTCAAAAATGCTGCTTATATGCGGTCTAAGGGGTCATTGACACAGGACGTTCTTGAGCAGTCAGTAACACTTTACAATAATTACTCCGTAGTAAACTTTGCATTAACAATGAGCGTTATATTTGTTACAGTATTTATTAATCTTTGTTAGCATTAGTCACCCATGTCGTCAATCATTTTATCCCTTAAAACTCCTCATTGATCACCAAAATGACATATTTAAGCAATTTTCCTTGAACCCTAGGAAATCACCCCAAACAATTCTAAAATGCGATTAGAAGTAGAGAATTGAAAAAGAATGAGTTGTCTGTGTTTGTATTGCATGCAGAAAGAGAGAGAGGAAGGGAGGAGTGGCTTAGTCAGTGGGCAAGTTGTTGAAAAAGGCCAAATTAATTTCCAGAAAGGCGAGCCGTCACAGAAGTTGCCATTTGCTGCTGAGTATTAGATCATTTCTCAAGCTGATTATGGGCCAGTCAAAAAGCTAATATTCAGAGTGCGGCGCGCCACTCCTGGGACAGGCAAAAGTAATCTAATCAAGAGCTTGCGGGGGGAAAGGAGCTTGTGTGAGACAGTGTGACAATCACAGAGCGGCCACCTTCTGCATCATGAGCAATGGTGGAGGCTAAATGAATTCAACCCAAGTCAGCTATTTCTGTCTGTGACTTTGCGGTAGGGAGTGGCAGAGCTGTTCTCATTTTGCTTATGCACGATAAAGGTGAGAGAGAGGCCTCTCGTTTTTAATGTAGTGCCATCCATCTGAAGGCAACATAAAACTTTAAAATGGAGTACCTTCAGCTCTCCTTTAAAGTCAAACTCATTGCCCAGATGATACAGATTAAGGGGGAACAGTCATGAACATTGCAACAAATCATTATTAATTATTAAAAAATACCTACTGTTTGATCTATTATATCTGCTCCACACGGTTTGTTCCATGCACATTTTCTTTGGTTCTCCATCTCATTGTTTGTTGGATTTTTATGGTTTAATTAGCTATTAATGACATATTTAAAAATCATTTTGATAACTAAAATCCAGATTTTACTCAATTCCTGTGCCATCAGTAGAGCTGCATTATTCCGGATAAATTGAGAATCGAGTTTCTATTTTTCTTCTCAAAAGTCACAATTTTCCCTCAATACTGAATGGGCAACTAAATAAAATAACATGTAATGGTAAGGTTCTGACAAAGTGTTAATTTTTTTAAATTAATAATGTTTAATTAAATAACTGTTTTAGATTTATTTATGTTTAAATGTGAACTATTAACTTCTGTGATGATGATAATAATATAAATATTTTTAACATAAATAACGATGCTGTGTGTTTCATGACATGACAACTGCCCTCTCAGGTGAAGAGCCAACCCAACGCAGATCTGAATATTTGCTGTGATCGGACTTGGGACACAGATGAATCATTGTTATTTAGGAATGGGAATAAGATCGTAGATGTTAGAATGGAGAATGGTGGTCTTTTAACGATAAATCGTGCAGCTCTGTCAGTGATACTGATTTTTAGTTTTAGACTGATTTTTAGTTAAAGACTGTTTCATCAGACTAATTAAACCACTTCTTAAGACTTTTTGAATAAATCATTAAAAAGCAGCTCATACAGGGGCATTTATTTATCTTTGTTTAGCTTTCACCGCGTTGACTAGCCGTGTGACTTCTATGTGGCTTCTATGTGAGCTTTGCCTCTTACTACACCTCATTGACAATAGACAATGGACATTTTTTTTGCCCATGAAATTTAGCAGAAATTAGCTTCAGGCCAAACGAACATACCTATTCGACTTAAGTATAAAGCGCATCTTGTACAAGTAATGCAACGTACTGCTGATTTTTACGCTATGCCATGATGCACTACGCTACTTCAGACTTCACAAGTTGCGTAAGTTGGGCTTTAGACTGCAAATGGCCATTTGGCCAGAAGCTAGAATTTTACTTTGTAACGTGTTAAATATGAATCATTTTCTTACACACACTCGTCGCTTTGCTTCAAAAGGCTTTTATTTCCGGGTGGAGCCATGTGGAGCATTTTTATGATGGATAGATGCACTTTTATTCACTGCCATTTTTATTAATATAACTCCGATTGTATTCGTCTGAAAGAAGAAAGCCATATACGTCCTGGGTGGTCCATGGGTTTATTCTTTCATTTTAAAGTGAACTGCTCCTAGACGCCTGAACCAACTTGTCAAGTTCTACAGGATCATCAGAAACTCTCAGGTTTGTTTGTAGATGCAGGCCTACAGTTAAACTGTAGGACCTCTAGGAGCAGAGTTTTAAACCCTAATTTTATAGGGATTAATTGTAATTGGTTAGCAAAGGGTGATCAGTTTTGATTGGTTGCTAATGAAGTCTGGTGCCGGTATGTGGTGATGTTTTACTACCTCCTTAAACTCCATCCATCTGTCCCTAGTGTTCTTATGTGCAGCTTTCCATCTTTATATCGTTCCTTCTGTCTGTCCCTGCCAACCATTTTCTCAGCTGTCTGGGTAAATCTGTGTCAGATATCCCAGCAGCCTTTGCAGGTCACTGTGTGCATCTGCCTTATTGGCTGTCAGCCTGGTTCAGCTGGTCCACGTGGCACCAGCTGGTGTTCCTGTGGCAGCGCCTGTTGGAAACATGGCACCTTTGGCTGAGGATGAATGGCAACTTTTGCCCACCTACTGAACACTAATTACCAATTTGGCAACGACTTTAGCTTTTGTTCTGATCACTGATCCAAACGTGATCGGCGTCCTGTGCAAACGCCTTTTGACCAGTCAGTGACTCAGAATATTGATTTATCATGGCTCTGTGCCTGTGTTTTGGTTTAAGGCGTCAGTGTTGCTTGGCTTCTGCTTACAGTGAGAGCGGTTGACAGAGACTGTCTGGTTCATTCAGTGAATCAAGATAATGCCTGTGCACAGACGTATGCACGTCTCAAATCGTTCAACATGAACAAATTTAATAACATTGCACTTCATTGCTCTTTTTTTATCTAAGCGTGTAAAACTGTGCTCACAAGAGAGACCCAGCATGCAAGAGATTGAGTGAATCAATAGGTTCAGTTTCAAAATATTTCTAAAAACGACAGATAAGTGTACCGGGAAATTATGCAAGCTCCCGGTATGCTAGTTTCACTCCTGGTAATGTGACACCCACGGTTTGATTTTACTTGTTGTAGTCAGGTAAACACGTAGCAGCTTTAGATCACGTTTCGTTCATCAAATATGTGGAAACACGTGGTCAAGTCTGTGGAAACATGCAGCATTTCGTCTTAAACATTAAACATTGTGGTGGGTGGAAAAGAGGTATCAGTGAAACATTTTTTTTTTTCCCATAGTGTAAATCACATTTTAATCTAAAACATTTCCCCACTGTGCAACTGAGGGGTTCCATGGATATTAAAGGTTCTTCATGGAAAGGTTCTTCCTTTTGTTCGACATGAAGTTCACATAGCAGAATGTTCTGGCCAGGAACTACCCGCTAAGACAATGACCATCTGACAGCCACGTAAAGTGACAACTGTAGTTATTTCGTTACATGATGGCAGGGTAAGCCCTCAACAGCCCTCCGTTGTTGTGCCCGTGCCCAATTTTGTGTACAATATGTGTGCTGTCCACTGATCTATATACTTTGTAGAATGACTGGATAGCTCATGACGTCATAAACAATGAAGCCACCGCTGCGCCAGATTCCCTAGTGAGCTCACGCGTTCTATTGAATCAATAGGAAATTGTATGATTTGACTAAGAAAACATTGCATAACGAGACACCGTCTTTAAATCTAAAGTCTCCCTGAACTGTCTTACAAAGCAAACATCCTAAGCATTTAAATGGGTATTTGTTTAAAGTCGGCAATTATTCCTGCTTACTAAAAATTAAAGGGATGGTTCACTTTGAAATTAATTTTTGATATGTTTTAGCTTGCCTCAAGGGCATCCAAGATGTAGGTGTCTTTGTTTCCACATCATTTTCAATTTTGACATTTTTGAGTCAAACCGTTGTTGTCTATCAGTCATACACTGGAGGCTAAGGGGGTCCACCAAAAAGCATGCACAGAGAAGTCAAAATTAAACATGATTTAATGACTCGTAAATGTAAGTACACATTGATGGCCTAAGACACGAAACGAGCGGTTTGTGTGAGAAAACGAACAGTATTTATATCGTTTTTACCTCTTGTAATCATAGCCATGATGACAAAATGATCTGACGGCACGGGTGCTTCGGTCTGCGCATGCGCCGGAAGTGATCGCTTGTGCGCCGACGTCACTCTTTGTTTATACAGAGATTTCGGATTACCTTTCACTAAACATATTTAGATATACGGGAAACCGCAATGGAAGACGATTTCGGTATATCTAAATATGTTTAGGAAAAGGTAAAACTTCCGAAATGTCCGTGTAAATATTGAGTGACGTCACGCGCAAGCGATCACTTCCGGCGTAACATTGAACTGATTCAGTTCGGTTCAGTTGGACATTGCACAACTGATTCAGATCACTTGGACGTCACTGTGATTACACGAGGTAAAAACGATATAAATACTGATCGTTTTCTCACAAAAACCACTCATTTTGTGTCTTAAAAATTGCATGGGTTAATGTACACCTGTTTCATCTCTTATTTACCCTTTATTTACACTGCTCACATCTGCGGCGCGTTTACAGATACGACAGCTACCAGAGCTGATCGCGCCCACAAATCGGCAAATCACGTGGAAAAATGCTCCTGGTGTGAGTTGACACCGAAGGTAGGAATAAAACAATGTCGCTCGGAGCCGTAATGCGCCGCAGATGTGTGCAGTGTAAATAGGGGGTTTTATACATAGGCCTACTCCGTTTGCAGTGCATATTTTTTAACATACCCATGTCAACAGGTTGAAGCTTTCACTGCACGCGGATGCCCGT